ACGACTGTAAAAAGGGTTAAAAGAAACTTTGCTAGTAATTGTATTTCACGATGTGCTAGGTATTCCCTTGCTTTATAGGAAGATGGAGTGTTGTTCATCATATACTTTCTGATTCTAGGCTTTCACTTTTTTATTTTCTATAGGGAAATAGGAGCTGGCATGAGCGTGTTTAATTTTAACCCCAACAATAAATCTTCTGGGACTTTGTATGTTGCTTTTTGCCGTCTTGGAAAACTGTTTTCTCCTTTTCCTACAGTGGAAGGAGAGGCGCTGGGCTGCGAAAATGTGGATGCAGCTTTGGGGCTGGGACCTGGTGGGTGATATTTGGGGTGCCCCCAGCTCCCCACTCTTCTTCACTCATTGATAAAATCCATGATGAAGCACAGAAAGCAAAGAGCGATTCAGATGAAACGGCAGCTCAGAAGCCTGGTCCGCCTGCCAAAAGCGCCACAGTCAGAGCCCTCAATTTTGGGGTGCTTTTCTAAGCTTTGGCACGTGCCTTAGGTAAACTTGGAGCTCAGCTGAGGGTTTCAGACGCGTCGCCGGTGGCTGCGCGGTGGCGTGAGCGCCGCGCGCTGCTCCCCGCCGCCTGCCGTGCTCACGAGCGGCGCGCAGCGCCCGCCGCGGGGCGGCTCTCGGGGAGTTGTTGCGTGTCGGCGTTCATTTGCGCTGCTGTGATTAGCGCTGGCCTGGCAGGCCGTGTTTGCTCTCCAACGGCCCCTCGCTGTGTGCCGGCCCTGGCTGGCCGCGCGGGGACCTCGGCTGCGGATTAAAATGATGGCTGGTTCTCCTGCGGGCGCCGTTTTGGGGAAAAAAGGAGGCTCTTCTAGTCAGCCAGAGCCGCCCCAGGATCAGTGCTGGGAGAGCCGGCATCATTTGACTCCCCATTACTTCCAGTAAACCCCTTCTGGAGATTGATGCGGAAAATGCCCGGCATGAGCGTAGGGCCTGGCTCCCATCGCGATTTTCCCCGTTTTCCCTCTTTTCCGCCCTTTGTCTGCGCCGTTCCCGCAGTCGCAGGGGCTGGGCTCCCTTTCCGTCGGGGCGCGGGGCTCGGGGGGAGCCCGGGTGCCCCCCGCCGCGCGCCGGGCCGCCCCCTCCCCGCCCGCCCATCCCGGCGGCGTCCGTCCCCATGGGCGCCTTTGTGCGGCCCGCGGGCGCCGGGCAGGTGTCGCCGCCCTCAATGCGGCCCGGGCCCCAGCCGCGGCCCCGCTGATGGATGCCACAGATGGAGCGTGGAAATCGGGCGAATGGGCCCCTGCCGCAGGCCGTTTCTGAGGCCCCGACAAAAGCGGCCGGCAGAAATCCCCCGCGCACAAAGGCAGGGCTGCGCGCGGGGGCCGACGAGCCAACGCGGAGCCGGGCGCCTGCCCCGCAGCCCCCTGCCCGCCACGGCCCCGGGAGGGATCCTGCAGGCTAATCCCGCGCAAGGAGCTACAGGGATGCGGCAAGGGCGAGCACCCACTCGCCCAGCAGCGGGGGCTGCGCTGCGAGGCGGTTCTTTGCTGGTCCCGTCTTGAGAGGCATCCCTGGGCAGGCAAAATACAGCGAGGGAGGGCAGAGACCAGGCTGCTATGGGCAGAAGAGAAGCCCACCTTAATGCTCCTACATCCCTAACGGGGTGATTTCACTGCACCTGAATGCTTGCCTGCAAAGTTTGTCCTCTGCAGAAGACAACCCTCTGCTCCTGGGTTGGTGAAGTGCCTTGTGCTGCTCCCTTGGTGGCTGTGTTTTTGCTATTCTTCCAGCCAAGCACCTTGCTGAGAGCAAGCACTGTGCACAGAAGGACCTCGGGTGAGCTGCTCTGCTCCACGTGTCTCTTCCCGGTGTTTAGAAAGCTGTGGGATTCCAGGCCACTCAACACCTCTGAAACCGAGCTCAGGGATTTTTGCCTGTGATGGTGGTAGTTCGAACAGAGTGTTTCCTCGGGCCACCAAACAGGTCAGCAAGGTTAAGAGACAAATAATTACTCTTTAATTCTCGAAATGCCGCCTTCAATTAAACCTCCCAGCTCAGCTGCTGCTCAAGCCTTTGGCCTCTTCCCCGTGTTGATCTGGGTATTGAGGAAGCTTGGACAGTTTGGATGCACTGTGGAGGTGGGAGAAGCTACCCCAGCCAAAACCTGACCTTCTTCACTGATGTCCAGCAGTATCCAGGGAAAGAGGGGCATGCTCTGCAGATGGGTGGATGCTGCTGAACGGAAGGGGTAACGGAGCAGCTCTATGAGCAAATGTAACACAAATACTGCTTCTTCAAGGCAGCATTTCAAGTGTTCAACATTTTCAAGTGTTCGGTTTGTGTGCTAGGCAATACTCTGATAGGCCTCTCATGTATTTTAAAAAAAAAAAAAAGGGGGTTTTAATAGGAAAAGTAAGCACAAAAACTTCCATGAAAATAATAATCCTTAAAAAGATTACCTAAGAAGCAAAAATTACGGACTGCAGCACAGACAGACTGCTAGCATTTGAGGTTACATTGGTCTGATTTTAATATTGTGGACCAGATAAGATAAAGGAACTCAATATTGTCAGTAAATCGGCAGCAAGTAGCCAGGCCTAGAGAAGGGCAAGACTGATGCAATCAGGTGTTTATAAAAGCCATTTAATTGCATGCGCCTTTTCTCCCTACTTTAGTTTTATTGCTTTATCGCTAAATGTTTGTATTTGTCTCAGACATACTGTCCTGGGCTCCCAGCTACTTTGTTTGGTCTTTTTGTGACTGTGTTGCCTTCATGTCTTCTTATATACTGCTTAATGAAATCTAAAACTGCAATGAGAACGGAAAGCCAGGGATTGGGTTGCGCCGTCCCCTCCCTGCGTGCGCACAGGTTGCAGAGGAACATTGCAAGATCTCACTAAGTCTTTATAGAAAAAACACTTATTAGAAAGATCACTTGGGGGCTTCTGGCTGGGCTTTAGCCCAGCGAGTGAGGGTGTCCAGGTCACAAATTGAGCAGCACGGAGCTGGCGCCGCGCAGCCCCCGTGGCATTTGGTGGGGGTGTGTGTGGGTGTTACACGTGTGCTCCCCTGTAATGGACCAGTGTGTCTGTGTGTGTCCTCAGGCTTTTTCCTTGGGATACAAGTCCCGCAGTACCTTCCTGCCTCCAGCTCTACTTCAGCTTTCCTCAATTTCCTCAAGCCTCTTTTTTTTTTTTCTTTTCTTTTTT